AATTGCAGAATGTTCAGCACTCGGGAGGGACAACATAACATGCGGCACCAACCGCGCATCAATTTCGGGACACCCTGTATTGGAATCAGGGGAGACATTTGTCTGAGCGGGCACGGTTAATCGTCGAGACTGAGCCCAGCCAGTGGGCCCATGACCCAGTCCCAGCCCCCCTCCCCCTCCAAAGCACTCACTGCACCCGGCTACAGGCGTACTCCTTTGTGAGCTGTCCGAATGCGATATAGGTATACAGTTGCCCGTTAAGCCCGGAAAAGGGGGTTGAGGCGTGGAGAAGAAGGATTCAACTATCCTGAAGATGGAAAGAACAGATTCACGGAACAGTTGGAAAGTGTGCCTCTGCGTCGAATCACCATTCTGCCCTGGCATTGTCTCGAGAAAGAGGTTACACGTGAATGTCGCTGAGAGTGGGGCCATGACAATTTTGGATCAGGTGTAAACATGATAAACTGGGAGGTGATTTGTTATGATTCGCTACGCCTTACGCGGGTAGTTTGTGAAAGCCGGATCGGTTCATTTTTTCTTTTTTGCTGAGAGTGGGTACGACTAACCTGCAACGGAATTTAACTTTACTCCTAGGAGGGTAGTTAACGATCATTGCGGATACGCGTATGCGTGAGGCACTGGTTTACTCCCAATCCTCGTTTAATTGTTTTCAGTGTGGGGCCTGATAGGTGGGGATAATGGCTCTGTCTAGCATCCAAAAAGAAAGCATCGTCCTGGGTACGTGTCGAGCACAACTTAAAATGAACAACTGCTGTTGATAATGGCCGTTTGTTGCCATCTCCCCGTTCGCGAATCCTGAAGTTACGCTCCCTCACTGAGGCTCTTAGGCGGGTTATAGAGCATGAGGGATGTGGGTTCCGCATTTTCAAGCAATAGTTGTCAACAGTTGTTTTGTCAGAACAAATTAGCATATACGGCAGTTCAGTGTACGGCCCTCCAGGTATTAAGTGGTTGGTTGCCAACATCACAATAAGCGATCTGCATTGATGAATACGTCTAATGGGCAATGGCCGTTGAAAACCATTGCCAAAGTGTATGCGCGAGACCTCTTCTCATTTCTATTGAGTCATAATAGGTACAGGTGTGTCTGTCATTCAAAGTTATTACGCCAGTATAATGCCTTTTGTGGCGACTAACGGAGCGAGCGAGAGGGTGGGCCTTGCACGTGCGAAATTGCGAGGGGGTACCTCCAACTGACTTGTGCACGGCACCTTACTAACCGGTCTCTAGCGATGTGCCAAATTTGAGCACAATCAGCCCAGCCGTTCTCGAGATCTGGAAGCGGCACCCTGCACGTGCGCACGTGCAAAATGGGTCCCAACCGACTTGTGCACGGCACCCTAGTAACTGCTCCGTAACCGTGTACCAAATTTGAGCGCAATCGGTCCAGCCGTTCTCGAGATCTGGAAACGACCCCTGCACGTGCGCACGTGCAGCAGCACCCCAACTCTGGCACATGGATATGCATTGCCTAGTGGGTGCCTACCTACATGCCAACTCTCAGCGCAATCGGCTCAGTAGTTACCGAGATATTGCAACAATTACAAAAGTGACACCTCTCAAGTGGTTGCTGAGATATAAGCCTCGCAAAAGCGTGACCACGGCCGGCCGGCCGGCCGCTCATACTCAGAAATTTCCGTTAATCTAAGGAAAGACTACGCTCGCTTCGCTCGCTCCGTAACCAAAAGCACATAGGCTAACCAACCACTCTTTTGCTGGAGGGCCGTTCTGGCCGCCTGCTGTGCCCGTCGTAACGTCGTTGCATTTTCGCAACACTGATGGCGCCCGGTGTGCCCTTCGTTGCGATTTCGCAACGCACATTTTTACGTTTTTCTCGAAAAACTTTTGCTGCAGGCTAGAATTATTTTCGATTCCATGCAAGGCCCTGGTAGGAGCATAACATATTTTGATTTCATCGATTTTCATGATGGTCAATATTCCTAGGCATAAATGGGTTACATATTGTAACCAAGACAATAACTACCAAGCGACTTCACACATATTCTCTCATTTTGGCGAAAAGCTTAAGGGGGCGGTGTTCCCCCCGCTTCCCCTATGAGATATTGACGTGGGGCGCAGTACCTCGGGGGTGCGCGTTGCTCCGATCTACCCTACAAAACTGAACTGGTCTTGTTCAAGGTCATGCAACTGAAATATTGATCAGTGGCGTCGGAACACCTTCAATTAACCTTCCAGGTGGGGGGGGGGACATTTTTTGCCCCCCTTTAGTTTTTTCGATATATCTCCAGAACCGATGCGCTGATCGTCACCAAACTTTCAGTACCTACCCTCCCGTGAATAGCTTTTGCACATTGTGACCAATTTTTTTCCAAAGACTATAATAGGTGTGCTGCTGATGACGTCGGAGTGACGTCATTTCTGCCATTTTCGACCCCCATAAAAGGTTTTGCGGGAAGATTTGTCAGGCCTACAGCTTTAGAGATACAGAAAAATGTTTTTTTTAACATAAAAGTTGTAGAATCATCAGAGCTACAAAACTGCTATCCCATATTTTTTGAAATTTTTGAATTTTGACCCCGAAAAATCAAAAATATATTTTTTTGAATATAATAGCTGAAAAATTCAAAAAACTTTTTTGAAATTCGAAAAACCGGAATATATGTGACAGTCCCTACCACCTTCTATCCACATACCAAATTTGAGATCGATACCTCTTTTTTTGGCCAAGTTATAGCGAAAAAAAACTTCAAAATTGATGACGTCAAATTTTCAAACTCAATTTTTAGCATTTCTAGACCCAGGGGTGTCGATTTGTGAAAATGGTTGGGGGTGCCCTGAGCTTTAACCCTCGTCCGTATACATTGGGGGGGGGGGGTCAAACGGCCCCCTCGGTTTTTCGCGAATAACTCGCGTAAAAAGCGGCCGATCACGACGAAACTTTCAGTATTGCCCTCGCGTTGAGCAATTCTACACCTACCCTTGAAATTTAACCGGCGACCTGGTGGGGGGGACTATTTTTTGCCCCCCCCCCCTCCAGACTTTTCAATATATCTCCAGAACCGCTGCGCCGATCGTCACCAAACTTTCAGTACCCTCCCGGACATCAATTATTGTGACCAAAAATTTGTCCAAAGGCTATGATAGTTTGGCCGGAAATGACGTCAGAGTGACGTCATGTTCTGCCGTTTTCGACCCAAAAAAGGGTTTCGCGGGAAGAGCTGTCAGGCCTATAGCTTTGCAAATACAGAAAAATGATTAAACATAAAATCTGTAAATTGGACAGGGCTACAAAACTGCTATCTCGGATTTTTGAAATTTTTGGATTTTGACCCCCAAAAATCAGAAAATAGATTTTTGGATATAATAATCGAAAAATCCAAAACGTTTTTTGAATTTCGCAAAAATCGGCATATATGTGATAGTCCTTACCGCCTTCCATCCACATACCAAATTTGAGATTGATACCTCTTTTTTTTGGCGAAGTTATAGCGAAAAAACTTCAAAATTGATGACGTCAAATTTTCAAACTCCATTTTTAGCAATTCTAGACCCCGTAGCGCAAAACAAAGACCACCATTAGACTCCCCGTGACGAGCTGCATCGAATCAATACCCATTTTATGCAAAACTATCAACTTTAAAAATTGACCTTTTTTGGCCTGACCTTGACCTGACCTTGACCTGAACTTCACCAGAAAGTGACCTAAGCCGTACCTGATAGTCTTATAACCAACACCATTGAGTTGGAAATGAAAAATTGGCCATAAAACATGTATCACACAACCTTAGTAAAGTTGGGCTCATGTGACCTGACCTGTGACCCTTGGTGAACTGACCTGTGACCTGACTTGGTATTGCCAGTGACCTCTAATAGCAACATATCTACTAGGCAACTGACGCCCTACCGCTGATTCTCGACAAAATACGTTTTCCTCGGTGTTATAGCGCATTCCCTAGAAGACCCGTGAACGGTGAAACATTTCATCTTTGACCTGACCTGTGACGTCATCGGTGACCCCGAGGTCAATGAAAATAGGTTTCGCTCGACAGTTTTTCCGGGGCTATCAGACGCCGTTTGAATTTTGACGATCGGCCCAGTAGTTTCGGAGTTAGGAGGGGGGCTATGAATAGCCCCCCCCCCCCCAGTAGGGCGTGTTATACGCAGACCCCAGTGGGGCGCGGGTTAACCTTCACCCATTGAGCCTCACTGGGCAGAGAATGACAGACTCAGCACTTTTTAAAGTTCTTTGTCATGAAACATCATGGACTGCGGTCAGGAGGCGAAAAGCAAGCCGTCAAGTCGACATTGGCTTTTGAAGCTGACGACCTTCCCATGTTGAGACCTTTCAGGTGACGCCTTTGAGTGGTGTGTGACTCGGTTCTTCCCCGCAGAAGTCATTCTCGTCTTTTACTTTTGGTTTCAAGTAATTCTAAAATATGAATCGTATGCTGTCTGTCCGAATGATGACCGAGTCCCGGTTAGAAGCACACTCAGACGGTGGGTAGCGTCTGTGAGATGTGTCAAAAATGGACGTCTTATTGCAAAACGTTTTCCCAAAGCCATTTGACACCATGCGTGCTCGTTGTTATGTTTTTCCTGTTTGCCATGTTTTTGCCTACAAGACAAGCATGCCTAAATGTTCATAAGTATCAGAAAAAAAAAACAAAAAATGCGAGGGAGTTTTTTTGGGTTAACTTTTTTTGACATCCTGCATTTACCAAAATCGTCGACAGGATTCCCACTGAAAGTCTGAAAGACGTCAATACATTATCGTCGGGTCCACTTGGTTAGGGGCCACCGCGAATGTCTCTCACCCGGTGTCGACAAGAGTTCTAGCGGCGCCCCTGGCGTTAGGTAGGTACGGCACCTTTCTATAGTTTTGTCATAAGCTTGTAGTTTTTGACAAGCATATAATTGAAGCCGAGTTTGCCATCGCCTCCATTGACTCAGCGATGTAACACCAAACACGGTATGTGACGACTACGGAATGTAAAATGTTTGTTGCCTGTTCCCTGCAGACAGCCGCGGTGACCATGGTTTCTGGGCGCGCACTGCACTTTGTCCTCAAGGTCGGCGACCGTCCGGCCACCACAAAGTTCTTTCGGGACATCCTCGGGATGAAGATCCTGCGTCACGAGGAGTTTGAGGAGGGCTGCAAGGCCACGTGCAACGGCCCCTACGACGGCAAGTGGAGCAAGACCATGGTGGGCTACGGCCCCGAGGACTCTCACTTTGTCGTCGAGCTGACGTACAACTACGGCGTGTCCACCTATCGGGTCGGCAACGACTTCCTCGGCCTGACGATTCACTCTCGGTCGGCGGTGGCGGGCGCGCGGCGCGCCGGCTGGCCGCTGCGTCAGCAGGGCGACCTGCTGGTGACGGAGGCGCCCGGTGGCTACCCGGTGCTGCTGCGCGACCAGGACGCGCCGGCCGGCCACGACCCGGTGCGCCGCTGGAGCCTGGCCTGCTCCGACCTGGAGCGCTCGGTGGCCTACTGGGGCCAGACGCTGGGCATGGCGGTGGAGGAGCGCGCCGCCGGCCGTGCCCTGCTCTCGTTCGGCGGCGACCAGGCGCGACTGGAGCTGGTGGCCAGCTCCGCGCCGCTGGACCGCGCCGCCGCCTTCGGGCGCAGCGCGTTCGCCGTGCCAACGGCCGAGCTGGCCGAAGCCGAGGCGCGGGTGCGCGCCCAGGGCGGCGTCGTGCTCACGCCGCTGGTCACCCTGGAGACGCCCGGCAAGGCGAACGTCAGCGTGGTCATCCTGGCCGACCCGGACGGCCACGAAATCTGCCTGGTGGGCGCCGAGGGGTTCGCGGAGCTGTCGCAGGTCGACACGGAGGCCGACGCGCTGCTTCAGAAGGCCATCGAGGCCGACAAGTCGGACCAGTGGTTCGCCAAAAAAGGCGGCAAGAAGACAGAGGCCTAGAGCTGTTGGGCGCCGCGGGGGCTTGCAGCTGGGCGAGCCATGACAGGGACACGCGCCCCGGGCTCACCGTTCGGTCGGAAAACGAGCGAACGGCGGCTACCTTTCACCGTCACCTGGACGCTGGTTAGTTATGTTGCTTTTGGTGGAATTTTTTATATCATTTTTACAACGGGGCTTTTGCGCAGGAGCGAAGCTTTGTCTCATGTGAACGACGCGCCCTATTGATCTGTGCAGCGATATTGTGTTTATCTCGTACTTACCCTGTATACGAACACATGCCAATGTTGGAAAGCGCGCGTTGGAGAGGGGCATGCCATTGTATTTACGTATACCCATGGTTGTGGTGTTGGTCTTGAACAGCGATTCAAATACAGTGCAATTAAGCTTCGTGTCGCCTGGCCTAGTGCGCTGTCCATGAAGTTGGCGTCAGTCAGCCTTCCCGGTACCGATTGTTTAGCTGATGGCATGCGAAGAGCATGCTCGTGCCTGTGGGGCTCATTAGGTGGCCGGCCACCTGCCGCCGCCGTCTGCTGAGCGACTCGATACCGACCCAGCCGGCCACACCGCACTGTCCAATCACACACCATGTATATTATCCGTTCGGCCATCACAGCAGCTGCCCGAGGCGGTGCGGCCAATGGACGGCTGCCCGGCCCCAGCTCCCCGGGCACGGGCACAGGTACCGTACTAAGCAGCGCCGTCCCACCACAGTGGCCACTGGCACACAGCCGCCCGCCCAGCCCGTCCCGTACCCCAGCTCAGCCGCCCGCCCAGCCCGTCCCGTACCCCAGCTCAGGCGCCGCTCGTATGGTACCCCAAATCAATCGAGCGCAGTAAAATAATGACAAAAGTAATGCACTCACATTAGGGAGGAATGATGAGGTTAAATAATACGCGAAATCAACAGCGTTAATGGGCAGATGGAATGATTCGACACGGAATGCTAGTTGACAGAGAATGATACAAAGCAGGGCGGAGCACGCCGGACGGCGCCCAGCTCCAGCGGATGACGGCTGGATGGTCCCTGTGTGGGATTAGCGCGCCGCTCCTCGACCGGCCGGTGGGGAGCGGCGTGCGGAGGCGCCCGGATAACCTCGCTGATCGCAGGCCGCCGCACCATCTGCTATGGCCATACATTATCCAAATGGCACCAGACTGCAAGCGGTACCATTTGCGCGCCGCGTCGTTAGGGAGGGTTCCGGAGCGCCAGTACACCTCGGCGGTGATCTACGGCCCGTTTGTCAGCCGCCCGTCCCGCCGTCAGAACCGCAGACACCGTCCCGTCGTCAGAAACACACACACTGTCCAGCAGTCCGGAGTCGCACACACTGTCCAGCAGTCCGGAGTCACACACACTGTCCAGGAGTCCGTCCCGTCGTCAGAAACACACACACTGTCCAGCAGTCCGGAGTCACACACACTGTCCAGGAGTCCGGAGGCACACACACTGTCCAGGAGTTCGGAGTCACACACGCTGTCCAGCAGTCCGTCCCGTCGTCAGAAACACACACTGTCCAGGAGTCCGGAGTCGCACACACTGTCCAGGAGTCCGGAGTCACACACACTGTCCAGGAGTTCGGAGTCACACACACTGTCCAGGAGTCCGTCCCGTCGTCAGAAACACAGACACTGTCCAGGAGTCCGGAGTCACACACTGTCCAGGAGTCCGGAGTCACACACACACAAACACACACACACACACACACACACACACACACACACACACACACACACACACACACACCTACACACACACACACACACACACACACACACACACACACACACACACACACACACACACACACACACACACACACACACACACACACACACACACACACACACACACACACACACACACACACACACACACACACACACACACACACACACACACACACACACATTGTCCAGGAGTCCGGAGTCGCACACACTGTCCGGGAGTCCGGGGAGGGGCTGATGGTGCGGCCGTCGGCTACGACACGAAAATGCACTGGAGACACCCGCACAGATGTGAGCGACAGCACAGTAGTTATCACATTTCTGATGGACATCACGATAATATGGTTTGATGTTGATTTGGGAGGCTGCGGAGAGCGACCTACCCGAGACGGGGGTGAGCCGGGTCGGCTCACACTGCGCCGCTGACTGCACACGGTATATCGGACGCCGCCCAACGCAGCCGCCCTCCTCCGAGACACGATTAGATTGACACACGCACGGCGGCGCCGTCCCCGATAAAGGTCTGAACGACCGCCCCCATCCCAGGCCTGGCTGTGGTAGCAACTACAGCGTAACAGACCACAAAAGTCACACCGATTACACCACTCGGCCACTGTAAAACACATTGGAGGGCACGCCGAGCGACTGGCGCGCGTTGCACTGCACAATGTCAGGGCCGCCCGCAATATCGGGACGGCACTGGCGCCCCGTCACCAGTGGAAAACAGCAGCGCCGGCTAAAAACAGTCCTAAGCTCGGCCCCGCCGCGCGCCCACACAGCCAGCGTTTGCACGCGGCCCTTCACTGCCTCGGCCGGGCCGTGTCGCTCTCAGTACATGGCCTCGTGGCCGGTGAGGATATACAGGTTCTTGTTGTCGGAGGCCGTCTGGTCGGGGTCGCTGGCCGGCACGCTTTGCACGGTGATCACCCTGCCGGCGCGGGTCTGCCGTCAGAGCAAACACACACAAAGACAGAAACATCAGATACACATAGACACACACACACACACAGAAACAAACACACAAAGACACAGACTAGTGGTGTCGATCGGATACCAACTTTTTGGTATATCGACCTACCAGGCCGATACCAACTTCGTATTCGGTATTTCAAACCTCATGCATTTGGTATTTTGTTGGTGTTAAGTACTGTCTCCACGTGTAAACATTTTCGGTTTTTACGCGTTTTAGCAAACGAGAGTTTTGCGCTTTTTTCGCTTTTTAAAGGTCGTTCTCCACGGTACATGTTTTGCGCGTTTTGAATGACGTTTTAACGCTTTTTTGATGTTTTGCGAGTTTTTCATGATCCGGCGTTGATCTGTACCATTAAATTACACGGTGCCATCTCCACGGCGGAAGATTTGTCAAAAATCGAAAAACGCGTGGCTTCATAAAATCAAAAAACTGCAAAACTCGTAAAACGCGCCGGGTTGTGTCATGCAAAACTCGTAAAACCTTTAAAAAACGCAAAACTCTCATTTGTAAAACGCGCGATTTTATCCAAACATTTGGATCGAATGAAAGTTTTCCGGTTTTTGACAAGGATAAGAAGGTAATCCTTCTGCTATTAATACCATTTTACGGTGAAATGGATGCAATGGAAAGTGTGGAAAGCGATGAAACGCAATTTGATTAAGCCAATTATCATGGCAAGTACTCAGACAACCATACCAATAACTTCTGTTGCTATTCCGACGATGTGGATGTCAAATAATTACATAGTGAGTCTATGGATAACCGATATTACGATATACGATCATTTCAGATAATTGATAATTAACTGATGTCATAGCGGTGATAACAATAGGGGAACGTGATGATACCCCTATGTTCTGTCCGAACAAAGTCCATATTAGAACGATGGCGCGAGACAAAAGGCGCATGAAAAATGAAATGTGTTACACTGATGAAGAATGTGAAGAAATGATAACGGCGGAAAAAGGAATTGGAAATTTGGCTCAAAACTTGGTTCATTGTGGTATTGTTATTGCTTTGGCTCGACGAATGAATGAAATGTTTGCTTGCGTTTCCGTTTTTTCTTGATTGGAAAGATCCGGCACTTTTGTTTAATGTTGCAGACACAACACCCCTATAACTATCTTTACAGCGAAAATCGAGGGGTTAATAGAAGCCGTGCGCCTGATACCTGCCCTGTGGGACAAGAGGGCCACGGCATACAGCGCACGAAGGGCGGAGAAAGATGTTCTTTCTCTGAAATTGAAATTGTTCTGAAATTGAAATTGTTCTGAAAGACTGACAAACTAAAACCGTAAAAAGCGAAAAACTCGCATAACTCGCAAAAGCGAATGTATAAGATGCACTGATTTTGGTTAACAGTTGGTATTTCTATCGGTTTTACCATTTGGTTTGGTTTTCGGTATTTTCCTATTGTTTCGGTTGGTATTTGATTTGGTATCGGTTTCCAAATTTTCCGTATTTGACATCACTAACACAGACGGACACAAACACAGACAGACGAACACAATTAACCAAACACGCCGGCTTGACTGCCAAACACGGTTCTGGGAAGCGAGAGGCGCGCTGCCACCCCAGCCGAGCGGACTGCAAGCGACGCCGCTCTTTGGGTAGGCATGGCTGCCTAACAGAACGGACGTGTGACATGAATGGACAGCACAGATAAGGCCGCCGAGCGAGACCGCTGACAGCACATCTGTCAGCCGAGGAGCACCAGCGAGGCGGTCTCGGAAGGTGCACTAGTGCTGCACGTCCTCCAGTATGCTATTTACAGCCGAGTGGTCAGTCAGGCCTGCTCACCGGTCGTTGCCGAGGAGCCGGTAGACGCGCGTGGTGTCGGTGATCTCCTGGGTGACCTCGCCGGTGACCAGGCTGCGGCCCTGCACGCCGTGCGGGTGAAACGCCAGCACACTGTCGGCCAGAATCACTGCCGGCGCGCCGACCGGTCAGGTCAGCGCCGCTGCACAGACCACTCGGCCAGCCAACACCCCGGCACCCACACCGCCGCTGCCGAGCGCTAGCACCGGGCAACCGACCCAGCGGCACATCGGTCACTTATACAGGGTATCCGAAAGTTCTGGCGCTTTTCAACATTTTCTAAAACAAATGCCATTGGTTCATAGATACTCATCAATGGATCAAAACAATGACCAGGGACACCAAGCCACATGTATCCGCTACGTGTTCATTCAATGTAACCATCGTCGGCGCCGACGACGGCCTCGACGCAGGGGAGGAAGCGACTGCGGGTTTTGACGATGTGGGGCATTTCCAGGCCCTCCATGCCGTCATGATGCGATTCTTCAGCGACTCCAGGTTGGGGTGATCAATGGCCTAGATCCTGTTCTACAATACAAAACGCTTAGCACGCCTTGGTCGAGCGGGTCAGGTTAGGAGAATAAGGTGGCCTGATCTCATTTCGCCACGGTGATCTGGCCCGGCAAGCTCCTCTGTCAGTTTAGCTTGAACGGCAGCGGCAATGTTGGAGGGCGCTCTGTGCTGTTGAAATGCGAAATTACCCTAAGCCCGCGACCGCCTGGGGGGTCGGATCCGACCCCCCCCCCCCTCCGTTTTTCTTGAATAACTTATGAACCGCTTACGCTATCGACTTGAAACTTGGCATACCTTCTCCCCCATCAATTTGACGTCTCCTGCGCAATTTTTAAGAAAAAATTTCCATTTTTTTAGATATATCGATTTTAGTGACGTAACTACATGGCGTTTTCAGTCAAAAAGTGGTAAATGTTTAAAAAATCGCCAAAATCAGGGTTTTAAGCAAATTGCAAATTAAGGACATGAATAGACGCAGCTCAACGAGTTCTTTAAAATGGCTATCTCGGATTTTCCATAAAATGCGTTTTTCTCCCCTAAAAATTCAAAAAACTACATTTTTTGGAAAACAGCTAATAAAATCCAAAATTTTGAGAATTTCCAAAAAACGGAATATATGTTATAGAGCTCTATTTAAACATTAGATGTCCCAAATTTCAACTTTTTATCTTGATTTTTGACCCCCAAATTGTAAAAAATAGCTAAAACACTCATAGGGCATGGTGACGTCATAAGCATTTTCGTGAATTAGAGGCACTTCTGAACATCGCATGTGAAAACAAATGGCACCACTAGATTCCTGGGACAAAGCTCGTTTAGAAAAGTGCATTTTTATGTCAAAAATAAAAAATTGAAAAATTGACCTTTTTTCTTAGCCCTCGTTTAGTTATGGATGGTATAAACGATTTTTTGTGCTTTCAATGCACACTTATGACCAGTACAGTGACTTGGGGTCACATATTTTTTTTTTTATAAATTTAGCTCGAATGTTTGAATGGACGGATTGACAGAGCCGGAGTCCACGCTAAGCAGAGCTTGTTGCGTAGACCCCGACCCCTACCGTCCGATCGCGCAATTCCGGGTAACGGGAGAATTTAGATGCCAAAGTTTAACGTGCCCTTCAAAGCCGGACACGGCCTGTCCCACTCAACTGACTTCAACTGGCTGCAGCTGCTCCCACCAACCGCAGACCATCCCCGTCAGGAGTCTCATATATCGAGCGCCGGAGCGTCTCGAACCCGGGCTCTCACTACCGGGAGTCCGATGCTCTACCAACTGAGCTACGGGACAGGCACATATAACCATTACCATCGGATTCGGCGTGAAAAACAAGCCATAAAACATGTGTCGCACGCCCATGTAGCAGAAAGTGAAAACCGTGACCTTTCGTGACCTGACCTGACCTTGACCCGTACTTAGTATGACCCCTATACGCACATGGTACCTTCACTAGGCCTTTGAGGTCATTTTTGGTGAGTTTCGAGCAGCAGCTGTCGATTCCGCTGTCCGTAAGCCTAATCATGCAAAACCCCAGAATTTTACCTTTGACCTGACCTTGACCCGAAAGTTGACCTCAATCTTAAAATCTTAAGAGTGCTTTGGGAAGGTCTCGTAAAGACCTTTCGAACGCCGCCTCGCGGGGCTCGATGCGACCATTGGTTCTCGAGATAACAGGGGGGGGGGGGTCGGATCCGACCCCCCCCCCAGGCTGTCGTGGGTACAGAAACAGCCCAGGCGGTGCCGGGTTAGGGCAAGTCGTCTTGACCCTCTGGTTGATGTGGCTGTCCAGGAACCCCTCGTGGACCAGCCTGTTATTCATTTATTCGACATTGACGAAGATGATGGGTCCATCAGACCCCCGCATTTTCTTCGATTGCCGCGCTGAAATGCTGCCCCGTTCTCGGCAGTTTTGACATACCGCTATCGTACCGGCCTGAGGATATTTTCTAAGGAATTCCCGATTCGCAATAAACCTTTACCTGCTAAACCATTCATCGAAAAACGCCGCATCGCGCTGCAACTCGCGCCTCGTTCAAGTCGCACCCGGCCACCACGCGTAGGCATTCAGCGACAAGGCGCATCTTTGCCCATTTACCCATCACTAAACACGATTCCAGGGCCATATTTACACGACCCGTAGCTGAGCGGTCAACGAGTGGTCATGTCTGTGGTGATTGGCTGAATGTCCAATAATCAAAGCGCGCGTTAGTCGGCGTCCAAAAGAAGCGCCAGGACTTTCCGGACACCCTGTACTGCACCATCAACATCTTCCTAAAATATCGACTGAGGTGGATGGCAAGCATAAATAATGTAAGCCGCCATCGGGCGGGGATGAACGCTCGTCAGACCTATCCGTTTTGTACACACGGCCGACTGCCGAGCGACTCGCCTCAAAGGTATCGAGTCATTATGGCATATTCCAAGATGGCAAGTGCGTGCCATCTTGCGCGGGTTAAGGAAAGAAAAACTCAGCACCAGAGGCCCGATTTGGCTCTGTGACGATTTCATAACCTTGTAAAAAGCTCGATAGCCGATGAACCCATCGAAAACTCTGAGTGATTCTGCATCAGATAGCCACCTCCCTCCCGTCGTCAATGCGCCTCCTCACTACCCTGACACGTGGCCAGAGGTCGAAAAACTGCCCATCCCTCCAACCGGTGTTGGAGCAAATAATTGACCGAATATCAATGCAAACGGAAAATAATCGATCACCAATGATCAATATTTTACCTGCATGGCCATTCCTTGCATCCATGTGCAATTTCAAGCCTCAGCCAATGATCCGCTGTGGGTACCTTCTAACCTACCCACGGCCTGGCTGACTTGCTCCCAGTTGCTTCCATCTTCCTGAAGCAAGTCGGTGTCAAAAAGGCTGCTTTTCCCGTTATCACGAACGGAATTTCGCCCTTACAGCAGTTGTAGAAGGTGGCAGTTTTTTAGAGCGTGCAGTCCGTGGAATAGATGTCGCTGCGGTCCGGCCGCGATATCCAGCGACATCTACGCGCGGAACAGTAAGAACTTAGAAGCACGGGCACGGCATTAACTCTTGCACGCCTTTGTTTCAGCGCATTGAAGCTGTCTGACGCTAACTGTATTGGTGTTCAGTGTACATAGAAACGCGAGAGGGATTCAAGTTCTTGACCCGTGCTTTAGGCTGTGCAACAAATCATTTTTCTTGTGGAGCAAATTTTAGGTCGGTTGGAGAAAGTCTAACAGTTTTTTCGACCTCTGCACGTGGCTATCCACCACGGCATGGCGTGCTGGCCGCTGGCCGTCCGTGCTGTCGAGACGGTTCGGTTTGCAATGTGAGGGCGCATGTGTCGGGGAAGGGAAGCTGCGTGCTGCCCGGTTTTACCATATCACAACAGCGCACGGCAGCAGCCACACTTACCAACACTATCTACGGTGAAGTCAAACTTCAGCTCGGACACCTGGCCTCTTGCACTCTTTGGTTTCCCTTCTAGGTCCACTATCTAAAACAGAACAATGGAAAAGAAGTGTTAGTCAAAAATACATCAGTACAAAATCAGAGCATTAGCGTTACGCGATGTGGCGGCAACCGATCACTGAACGGAGGCCAGACTCGGGTCCAACCGATCACTGAACGGAGGCTAGACTCGGGTCCAACCGATCACTGAACGGAGGTCAGACTCAGGTCCAGTAGGGAAGACTGCGAAGAAGTGAGCCATTATATTCACGTCGGCATTGAAAATAACTGCAGCAGTATCTGTCGGTGTACCTGGTGCGTAACTGACTGAGTAACTAACGGTGTATGCAGTGTAACTGCAGTGTAACTGACGTAGCTGACTGAGTAACTGACGGTGTATGCAGTGTAACTGACGTAACTGACGGTGTATGCAGTGTAACTGCAGTGTAACTGACGTAAGTGACGGTGTATGCAGTGTAACTGCAGTGTAACTGACGTAAGTGACGGTGTCACTCCAGCAGTAATTGACGGCGTAGCTGACGGTGTAACTCACTGTGTAAGTAGCGGTGTAACTGACGGTGTAAGGTGTAACTGATGGTGTCCCTCCAGCAGTGAATGACGGTGTAGCTGACGGTGTAAGGTGCAGCTGACGGTGTAAGGTGCAGCTGACGGTGTAAGGTGTAGCTGACGGTGTAAGGTGTAGCTGACGGCGTAAGGTGTAGCTGACGGTGTAAGGTGTAGCTGACGGTGTAAGGTGCAGCTGACGGTGTAAGGTGCAGCTGACGGTGTAAGGTGCAGCTGACGGTGTAAGGTGCAGCTGACGGTGTAAGGTGCAGCTGACGGTGTAAGGTGCAGCTGACGGTGTAAGGTGCAGCTGACGGTGTAAGGTGTAGCTGACGGTGTAAGGTGTAGCTGACGGTGTAAGGTGCAGCTGACGGTGTAAGGTGCAGCTGACGGTGTAAGGTGCAGCTGCAGTGCCGCAGACGGCGGTGGCGGCTCACCCGGACCGTGTCTCGACAGGCCACCAGCACGGCGTCCTTGTCCATCTGGATGACGGCCGACACCGGCGGGCCCTCGGGCTCGGCGGCCGGCGCGTCCGCCTCCTCCTCCTCCTCCCGGCCGTCCACAAACCACGAGCTGGTGGCGTTCTGACGGCACACACAGTACACGGGTCACACAGCTCACACTCAGTACACGGGTCACACAGCTCACACGGGTCACACCAAACGGCCTTCCTCGCAGCTGGTGGGTGCAACTGCAGACTGAGCGGCTCACGCCCAATGGGTGCCCCATTGGGCCTCGTGGGATAAGATAACCCAAACGGAGCCACTATATGCGCCACTGCCCACGCAGTGGGGGTTGGGACGCCGCCCCGCCGACGCGGCTGGGAGCGTGGCCATCGGATGGCAGCGTTCAGTCGCCGTCAGTGGCCATTCCTATAAAGAAAAGAACGGAGGGACGCTCCATCATTTCTGAGATTAGACGGAATTTGGTTATCATAAAAGGACGAAGACGGAACCCGTTCAAAGAACGAGGCCAGAATGACGCTACCCCTACCCAAAAGGACGCGTTTCCGTATCATAAAGAGACAAAGACGCCTCTAGTGACGTAAGACTTTGCGTTGTTCGTGAAAAATAACGCATCAGAAATAGCGCTGCTCTTCAGCAGCACTTTTTTACGGCATTGGTACGGCGTTTAGCTGTTTGCCAGAGAAACTTGTGCGAAATGTGTTTCAGGCTGCATGTTAATCGATATGTGAACTGTATGATATTGGTCGCGAGTTATTTCATATAAAAAATTGTCAGTTTGACATGTAGACCGTACCTATAGACCGCCACCTTATCGTTCTGCAGCTATCGTTGTTTATCAGGCAAACATATGAACAGGAAGGATTGGACACCTTGAGATGCAATATCCAGTAAGTGGTAGGTGTTTGTTTCATATCTTTGCCCCGCAAGAGTTCATTTAGTTGCGCTTAGTTATATTGGACATTGGGCATGAGAATAAAAACGATCATGTTACATGTACGTCTCGGAGATCGACTGTGTCCGCCTCTGACTGAAATAACTAAGGCTCGAAGGAGGTCACGCGCATCATGACTCAAGTGACCTCCGAGTCGGGACTAAATAATAACATAACTTTATAACAACATGTGTCCACGACACAACACTCTCCTCCCCTTAGACAGCTCCACTAGTGAGCTTGTCTTTTGGACACACGCTCAGACCTACGTGGTCCAGTGTCGAGCACACTGTCAGTGGCGTTACTCTCATCACGGCTGCTGTCGGCTCCTGATGTGTCCGTTTCAGGTTCCGTCTGACATTCCGCGTCGTCCGCTCCTCGCTGACTAGCTTCTGTTGTCTGTGTCTGTTGTCACCGAGACACAGACTAAGTTATGAAATCATCTAAAGTGTTTGTAAAGTTCCACGATACGGATCTAATATCCTGCTGTGCTATGGCCATTTCTGGTCAGGTCATGTCTTTGAAGTAGGCCAAATTTTTCAAATGACCTTTAAAGATCAACTTGCGATTCATTCGGGCGTTTTGATAAGAGGAACGAAGAGGCTGGTAAAATTAATTTCATGCAAGTTTTAAGCTAAAAACATTTAAGTGTTTGTGGAAAAGCAATTGGTTTTCTCATAATACCGATGGTGGCAGTTCTTGTTATTTACATGCTAAGCCGTTGACCCTAATTAAATCTGACAATATTATTCAGATTTCAGACATAGCGGTAAACGAGCTGATTGTTGTGTTAGGTTTTGCTCTTTCGGTCGATTTCAGAGTGGGAAGGATGATAGGAATTAGGGGGAGACAGGGGGCCTGGGCGGGAGTCCTGGGTCTCATGCTCCGCTGGGGCCGAGCCCATCACGTGGGTTGGATTGCCCTGACACATGGATAGCCCTGGGCGGTGTTTCACGGCCCCGCACTGCAGCACGCTGCGCTGCGCTGCTGCATTGTTGCGGCGGTTGATATGAATTGGGCTCCACGCTAGCGTTGCGAGCCATAGGCGCGGGAGCCGGGGGGGGGGGGGGGGGCAGCCTGGGGCCGTGGGGGCGGTGCCCCCACAGCTTTGAGACGGAATACCACACTTTTTTGCAAATGCTTTCTTTTTTGTTGAAAAAGCCGAGGGATGAAAAATAAGTGGCCCAAAACCGGTGAAAACTAGATTTGGGGGGACCCTAGGTTGATCTCTATTAAGGTGTGCCCCCAGTCGGAAAGTAGTTCCCGCGCCCCTGTTGCGAGCTTCCGAGTCTGTTGATGTTTCCATGGAAATTGGAAACCCAATGCACCGGTGCGCGCAACGCACCCTGTCTAAGCAAAATTTTACCATCGATGACCTTGACATGACCTCTGGCTATGACCGGATCCAAAATTGGCTGAAGTATTTTTTCTTCTTTTTGCTACTTTTGACGCTACTTCGAATACCACTTAAATGCCCAAAGCTGAGTTATAAGAATGATGCTCAATCCCCATTTCCCCTCCAACAGGGCGTGAGAGTCTAGGCATTTCTGTGGGGCACAGGCTAACAATGACTATCTCATTGGCCATGAACATCTACTGCCATTCTTTAACACCGGTTTCGCTGCGCTGATCGGTGGCCGTCCCGTTTGTTGGATTCTACAGCTGGCTGGTGGAAAGCGTTACCGGCCGCCCGTCCACCGCCCGCGGGCCGGACCGAGCGGTCCCGCTGACCCTACCTGACCTGAGCCCGGCGCGATATGGGACAGGCAGACGGGGGTTCGGCTCAACGAAGGCAGCGCCCACTGGTGCTGGGGACTTTTTTAATAGATTACTGTACACTGTACACTAGTCCGGTCATAGCCAGAGGTCATGTCTATTACTACTGTACAGTAGGTCTATTAAAGAAGCCCCCAGCACCAGTGGGCGCTGCCTCCGCTGAGCCGAACCCCCGTCTGCCTGTCCCATATCGCGCCGGGCTCAGGTCAGGTAGGGTCAGCAGGACCGCTCGGTCCGGCCCGCGGGCGGTGGATGAGCGGCCGGTAACGCTTTCCGCCAGCCAGCTGTAGAATCCAACAAACGGGACGGCCACCGCTCAGCGCAGCGAAACCGGTGTTAAAGAATGGCAGTAGATGTTCATGGCCACAATGATTATGAGATAGTCATTGTTAGCCCGTGCCCCACAGGAATGCCTAGACTCTCACGCCCTGTTGGAGGGGAAATGGGGATTGAGCATCATTCTTATAACTCAGCTTTGGGCATTTATGTGGTATTCGAAGTAGCGTCAAAAGTAGCAAAAAGAAGAAAAAATACTTCAGCCAATTTTGAATCGGGTCATAGCCAGAGGTCATGTCACTAGAGGTCATCGATGGTAAAATTTTGCTTAGACAGGGTGCGTTGCGCGCACCGGTGCATTGGGTTTCCAATTCCCATGGAAACATGAACAGACTCGGAAGCTCGCAACGCTAGCGTAGAGCCGTATTCATATCAGCCGCCGCAACAATGCAGCAGCGCAGCGCACGCGGGGCCGTGAAACACCGCCCAGGGCTATCCATGTGTCAGGGCAATCCAAACCACGTGATGGGCTCGGCCCCAGCGGAGCATGAGGTCCAGGACTCCCGCCCAGGCCCCCTGTCTCCCCCTAATTCCTATCATCCTTCCCACTCTGAAATCGACCGAAAGAGCCTAACCTAACACAACAATCAGCTCTTTTACCGCTATGTCTGAATAATATTGTCAGATTTAATTAAGGTCAACGGCTAAGCATGTAAATAACAACAACTGCCACCATCGGTATAATGAGAAAACCAATTGCTTTTCCACAAACACTTAACGTTTTTAGCTTAAAATTTGCATGAAATTAATTTAACCAGCCTTGTGTTCCTCTTATCAAAACGCTTCGAATGATTCAAAAGTTGATCTTGAAGGTCATTTGAAAAATTTGGCCTATGTTCAAAGACATGAACTGACCAGAAATGGTCATAATGCATAGCAGGATATTAGATCCGCATCGTGGACCTTAACAAACACTTCAGATGATTTCATAACTTAACCCGCGCCGGGCTGGTGCTCTAAGATTCCGCGCCGGGCCGGGGGGGGTGTCTGAACACCCCCCTTCTAACTCGTCTCCTGGGCCACGTAGCGACACGCAGTAAGCGGCAATCGAAAGAACGTCCAAAATAAGGCCGAAAACACTTCTGTCATTTTTTTGGGTCAGGTCAAAGGTCAGGTCACCAGATGTCATCAAAGGTAAAATGTTGACTATTTCAACATTTTGGAAACTGCCGACGGCTATCTCGGGAACCGACAGAGCTACAGCGTCGCGGAAAAGCGCATTCGATAGCCCTTTTACAGACCTTTCTGATTGATGTTCTCAGATTTGACCTCAGATCAACGGTTTAGCCTTCGGAGGGCAAAAACTCCAAAAATAGCCGTTTTTACGAAAAACGTTTTTTTCGGCAATAACTTTTGACTCAAAAGAGCCATGACATTACTTTTGCCAGCATCGTATTCCACTCATCGAGGCGCGTCGAATGAACTCAACTTGAAAATTTGACCTTAGGTCAAGGTCATGACCTGACCGGAAAAGGTCATGTTGCATATCAGTCGATCCGCAACGTCGATCCAAACACATCTAAGGCGTTTTCAGCGCTCTAGCACGCCTCTATCAGAAGTTATTAGCGAAAAACTGTTGGATTCTGTTCTTGACCTGAGATGACCTCGGGGACATAACGAGGGGTCACAGTTGCGATTTTCCGGTTCAGTGTGTCAATCTTACCTACATCTCGATGTTTGAGAGTGTCTAGATTAGCGTTCATGCAAAACAGACGCTTTTCAATTTTCTCCCATTGACCTATAATGGAGAGGCCGCAAAATTGATCTGACTTTAGGTCAACGATATCAAAATTCCGAGATATACATTTTATAGATAATGTTGCTCTTATCAATCGCTGAAAGTTTCAAGGCAATCGATCAATCGGTGTAGCTATGACGAGCATTTTTATTTTTTTCTGAGGTGAGGTCACTTGGCGTGACCTGGTGACCTCACCTAAGGAGACCTGGGTCTGAAATTTTCACAACATGTGCGGAAAAGATGCACGAACAGGTGTGCCAAAAACGGCGGCGCTCCACGGTATTTGCGAAAACCGCAGGGGGGGGGGGGGTTCAAAGACCACCCCCGGCCCGGCGCGGGTTTAGCATGTCTATCAAAAATTACCTATTACATGGCTCATACATATGTAAAATTTTGGTCCAGAAAACACTAAAATTGGAGATAGGTATTTTAAAAAGTTATTTACCGTCTTTTGGGGCAATGTGCCCAGCAAACGGCGGGTGGCGAAATACCCCAGCAACTGCCGGGTTAATAGCTTGCTATCCATTCATCTTATCTTGCGTGGGGGGATAGTCATCATTCGGGGACCAGGGCCTCGTTTCATAAAACTCTGCCGTAACTTACACCTTTCCGTAATTCACACCCTTTCAAACTACGGAGCGCAAATAAATCCGTTTCACAAAGCCACAACTGGAATTGTTTACACCTCCGTAACTAAGCACATTTGCGTAGTTACCGTAATTTATCAAGCGTCCTACAAATTACAATTTCATGTCAACACTTATTTTTTTACGAGAATTTATAAAACAATTATGTTGAATTTAAATCTTAAAAATTATGTATGAAAAAATAAAATTGATATTGATGACCATACTATATTAAAACAATATATTAAAAACAGCAGAAAGCCAGCTAAGCAGAAGTGCCTAACTACGAAAGTGGCGCGGCGCGGCGAATAAACAAAATTCCGAATCCGATAGTGGCCACAAAAAGCGACTGGTACAGAAGATTTGCAGTTTCTTTTTCTCATTTTGGCTGTTCTTTCTTCCTCACCGGGCTCAACATTATAAAATATATTAAAAATTAGCTTCGAATCTTCACATTAATTCAAAATCACGCAACATTTTTGTGCGTAGTTTACACCACTGATATCAAGAGCTTGATAAAATATTTGGCGTTAATTACGTCGTTTTATGAAACCCAAATGGCATCAATTGGTCCGGAATCGAGTATTTGCCGTAAATGAAGCTCCGTACTTTCGATGGCGTGAATTACTCCGGTCTCCGGCTTTATGAAACCGAATTGGCATCAAATACGCCAAATCTGGAATAATTGACGGAACGCCGTAAGTAATTCCTTTTATGAAACGAGGCCCAGTAGTTGAAAACAAGAAATAATGACGAGGAGTAGGTCTCGTAAAAGGTCACGGTGATTGCATTGAGCATTAAATGACGAACATATTTTTACCCCCCACCGCCTCAGGCGATCACGTGCCGTCACCCACCTGGTTCAAACATCCCCCGGACCCGTCGCGGGTTAAGAAAAGAATTTGGACTAGCTTCTGAAATGATGTCATTCCAATTGGAAACCTGGCCGACAAGGTTTACAACAAATCGGATTATCCGTAACAGACGCCAAGTTGGGCAGCGAATTCATAACTTTGACAAAAATCTCAGAAGTTTTGTTCAACGTTCTGTCCTGTTATACGCCAATTTAAAAAGGGCATTGTCTGGTTTACTGCATAGTGCATATTGCAAAGAAAAGGCGACTGTTTCTGACAAAATAACCTATGCCAGGAGAAGCGTAATGAAACAATATACACAATAAGAGGCTACAATATTTGAAGTCAAGCACCTAATCGAGGTATAGGCCATTAAGTGTTAGAATACCGATATTTTCCACTGTGCAGCGCTCGGGCCGGCGGCGGTGTCTGACTGCGCCGCGGTGCCGCCGCTGCCGCTGCCGCCAGGCCACTGACCAGGTCGATGACGTCCAGCCGGACGGTGTCGGGCCGGCCGGTGCTGCGCGCACCGGTGCAGATCAGCGGCAGCTCCGACTCCGCACTGATGACCATCTCAAACACCGACAGCGGCGCAGGCACCCGACACTCGTGCAGCTGACACACAGACAGAAACACGAGAGGTCACACTGGGCCGGCACACTGACAGACACACGAGAGGTCGCACTGGGCCGGCACACTGACAGACACACGAGAGGTCACACTGGGCCGGCACTCGTGCAGCTAATTTTTCTATCAATCCTACAGTTTTTCATAGATTTGATTTAAACTTGCAAGATACGGTTTGCTCACCGAGTGCCATCTCGGGCCCTGTTTCACGGTATCACGCTACGCTGTAAAAAAGTTTAGCATTTGGGGTGCTAACGGCTGCTATTCGTAGCACCTTTTAGCGTCAAAAGAACCCTACGACGTATTTACAAAGAAACATGGTGCTAATACTGTGCTAATGATAGCTAACATTCCCATGAAATATTATAAGTTAAGATCACCTATTCTTCTACTGAGCTTAACGTCTACTTCTGCTAGTACCAGTCCATCAGTGAGTGCTCTTTCAAGCTGGATTTCTAATTAGAACCATTTTAACCCTCGCCGGACCTATTGGTTTTCTACATACGCGCCGGCCGAGGGGGGGGGGGGCGGGTACGACCCCCCCTCGCCGTTTCGCCCCTGGTGGAGCTAGCGCGTCGCGGAAAAAACGAGTGTGTGCGCCGTTACGAGACGCAGAGATTGGTACCCGATTTTAAGGTCCTAGGTCAACCGGTGACCTCTGAGGTCAGGTCAAGTGCCCCAAGGTACGGTTCAGTTTTTGGTGAATAACTTCGCAAAAAACGGCCGCAAAGCGCCGATTTTGGCAGCATCGTGTTCGTCTCGCTCAGGCGCGTCGAATGATATACTTTTTGTCCGGGTCAGGTCAACTTGGGGTGTTGACCTCAGGTCAAGGTCAGGTCAGCACCCCTAGGTCACGAAGTTGGTCGAAAGAGGTCATGTCACATATCATTCGATCCGGCAGGTCTTCCTGAGTCCATTGGTGGCTTTCCCGACTCGCTAGCTCAATTTGATCAAGAGTTATTGACGAAAAACTAATATGACCTTGATGACGTCATAAATGACGTCACGCAAGGTCAAAATTGCAAAAGTGACGCATCTAACCTTGCAAGGAGTGCATCAAATCACGATTCTGTGTACTTGAGATAGTTGGAGATCGTTCCCGGCGCCAGAATAGCAGTTTTCATTTTTCCCCATTGACTTATAATGGTGAGGTCACGAAAATGACCTGACCTCATATGACCTTTAGGAAAAATCCGAGATATACAAGTTGTGGGACTCATAATGGATACTAGATCCTGCAAGTTTCATTTTCCCTGTGACATCTCCTCTGGCAGTGAGGGCGTTGCGAAGTTGCGACATCTGAAGACCGTGCAGAGGTTCACTTATGACGTCATAGGTCAGTGACCTGACCTGACCCAAAAATGCGGTTGGTGTCAAAAGATCCGGCTTGGATCAAAGGTCAGGTATGCCAAGTTTCAGCTCTCTATCGCCAGCGTGTTCGGAGCTATCGCGAAAAAACCCTATGGGGGGGGGGGCGGCACCCGCCCCCCCCTCGGCCGGCGAGGGTTAAGTGTTTTAGAAGTTGGTAATGCTGAATATGGTGCTCACGTTAGTATCACAAAAGAACCGGACATGCTTACAGAGGAACCAAAGGTGCTTAAATTTGAAATTGGCGCCAAAGGAAGTAGCTAAGCCCCTATGCCCTTCTTTACAAATCCCTGGGAGTCTTACACCAGCCCTTTAGCACGTTTTGACGGCGCAGAGCGACATGCGCATGCGCGTGCCAGCTGCTTCCGGCCAGGTGTTGCGCCATTTTAGTGGAGTACGTTGGTCGTGGTGGGAGTCTGTGCACGTGCTCCGGGATGAAGTGAAATGAAGTGAAGTGAAGTGCTCTGGGCACATGCCACCGAATGATAGCTCTGGAATGATAGCTTAAATCAGCTATTATCGGTGGAATCCGTTGTGCGTGGCATGGGAGTGCGTGCCCCTGCTCCGGGATGCAGTGGGGTGGAGGGAAGTGCAGTGCAGCAGTGCATCAGTGCAGTGAAGTGAAGTGAAGTGCTCCGGGGCCGGGTGGTACGGCTCTCCAGTAAAAGTCTTGTTGGTTTTGCTTTTTCGGACATATCTGGTCCTATGTAATGTTTAAATGCATAAGTATCAACCCGGATTATGTGTATGCACATTTACCACGAGACTGTGAAATTGCATCGTTGTATGCCAAATACTTTCCGAGATATCCACCAAAAACCTCATTTTCTGCCGTTTGGGGTATTCTGGCCGCAATCTTCCTGGGGTCGCCTATGACATCCATGGTGCCACCTAGCGAGAGGGACGCGGAAACACAGAATCATGAATGAATCGAGCGCGTAGTAAACGGTGTATGAAAGGGAGACTCGGCAGAGGCTATCCGGGTGGCCGGCGCGCGGCGCGCCCTTAGGCATCGGCCGACCCTTCGGACCGCGTGGGGTCAGAGGTCGCGCTCGGGAAGTCTCGGCTCTGGGTTTTAGCGCTGTGCAGTCAGGAAGGGAGGGGAGGATAGCGCTAGCCCGACTGACTAGTATCTCGGCTGATTCGTGTGGGGTGGAACGGATCACAGAACGGGATGGTGGCTAGTGGTGGATGATGGGATGGTGGTTAGGTTAGTGCGTACTGCGTAGAACGTAGCTGAACATGCTTTTTTCATGGCAAACAACATGCAGCATAATGAGCGGGATTATGCCAGAACTCATACAAAAAGGAACTAATATTTCGGCCGAGGGAGTGGATGAGTGCCGTGACAAAGCATGACGATGTTGCCAAAACCGGGATGCTTGTTTGCCCCCATTTTTCTATGAAGTTTTAACCCTAACATGCAGCGCTTGATCCGAACTTAGAGGTCCCCGACTGACCTTAGACCTTAAAATCGCACCCGTCCGGTGCGCCACCTTTTCTTCAGGGGCACTCTTCTTGGTTGTATCTGTTCTTACCAATAACTAAAGCAAATCGAATGTATAATAAAAAAGCCATACCTCAAACACCGTTTAATTCACATCCGCTCGTGTGCATACTTGTTTTTACCTACATATACCTTCTCGAATCATAATATATCACTTCAGTGCTTAGGGTAAGGTGCCTAATTAGCGACCCCCTTAATTTGAACAGTCATTGCTCACGCTCTATGGGTGCCACTGTATTACTAGCTTGATTTTCGAAGAGATCGCTCATTTTTCTATTAAAATATAGTCATTTTCTGCCCCAATATCCACTAATTTATTTGTAGTGAGCATTTTGGCAAACCATTGCAAAAAACGCTAATAGGGAAATCTTCCTGATTAGCGACCGGGGAGGGTCGCTAATAAGTCTATGGGTTTTCCCATATTAAATATGGCAAAAAATGCGACGCCTGAAAAGATGAAATATGATCCCAAAAAGGTAACCTATACGCAAAGCACTCAATCAGTCGAACAGGAACGTTTATCCAACACGTTTACGTAAGAAAAAACTGATCACGTGATGCGCCGAAGGCGAAAAGAAGGTGAAAACCCAAATTTTGCGGGCTATCTCGTATGATATTCGAGATCCGCCCTGAATTCGGCACCCCTGCAGTCGGTGATGACATTTGGCATCCCCTGCCACACATTGCAAGCTTCAGCAGCACCTCATTTTCATTTCTCTCTTTTCCCCTTTCTTTCCCTTCTTGAGCTATTTGCGACCATGTCGGGCGCAAATAGGAAATAAAATAGAATAGTTATATTAGTTGCGACACATTTTTAACCGCCATGCAGTGCACAGTTAAGCGACTCACTATGGGAAAACGGTAATCAATTGAAAAAGAATTGTCGATTCAGGATAAAAAACGTGCACCATCCTAATGTGCATCACTTTTCATCAGAGAGGGCCCAAAATACACACGCTTTGGATAAGAAACTCGTCATTTTTATTTAAACCCACCTGAAACGTCCCACCAGAAACATCGACAACCGGAAAATATTTCAATTTGATAACCAAAATATAGCTGACCTTTTGACAATGTTTTTACCCCGTTTTCTCCTGCCAGTTTTTCTGTAGGGAGGTAGGTCGCAAATAGGAAAGGGTCGCTAATTAGGCACCTTTGGGTTTTCTGCATATACCCCGGCCGAGGGGGGGGGGGGGGGGGCGATTACGACCCCTCTCCGTCTTTTTGCCCCTAATTGAGCTAGCGCCTTGCGGATAAAACTGAGCGCGTGCGTCGTATGAGATGCAACAACTGGTACCCGAGTTGAATGTTTCAGGTCAACCGATAAACTCTGAGGTCAGTATAAGTGCTCCAAGTCGCGGGATCGGTTTTTGGTTAACAACTTCACCTTAAGTGGTTACAGAGCCAAGAGTTTTGCATGCTCAAACGCGTCAAATAGTTTACGCTTTGTTTTTGTTGAGGCCGATTTAACCCGCGCCCCACTGGGGTCTGCGTATAACACGCCCTACTGGGGGGGGGGGGGGGGCTATTCATAGCCCCCCCCTCCTAACTCCGAAACTACTGGGCCGATCGTCAAAATTCAAACGGCATCTGATAGCCCCGGAAAAACTGTCGAACGAAACCTAATTTCATTGACCTCGAGGTCACCGATGACGTCACAGGTCAGGTCAAAATAAAAATTATTGGCATTTTGGCTTCTTCACGTTTTGGGCTCTGGCCGCCGTCTTACAAGTCAGATCAGGCTCATTTTTGGTTCACACACTCGTAAACAGATGCTCTAGATACTCTGAGGGTACCAAACTTGTACTTTGATTTTCAGGTCAAGGTCAGGTCATCACAGGTCACGAAAATATGATATCATCCGTCGGTCACGTGACACATATTTTATGGTCCATTTAGGTCAGAGATTTCGAATTTGATGTCGTTTGTGTCATTCGAGGTCATTTTGAGTCAAATTTAGCTCAGGTCAGGTCACTTTCAGGTCGAAAAAGGTCAAATTTTGAAGTTAAAATTTTTCAACAAAAAAGGTGTCTATTGGATGCAGTTTGAGCTCAGGAACACGATGGTGCTATTTATATTGGCGTACGATGTCAAATTCATGCTGAAAAATTGA